CAGAAGGATTTTCGACGAAAAATGTTGAATACCCCAAAGATACCCCCAAATGGTCAAACAATACTCAAAAAAGTAGTCCCCAGACAATTTTTGTTTTTGGGGTATTTTTTTAATCTTTCGTTGAAAATCCCCCTGTAAGGGGGACAGGCCCGACTTAATCTCGGGTGTGGTCGAGCGGAGGCGGCGGCAGGGCGGGGGCTCTCCCGCCCCCGCACGGGGGGCGCGCGCGGCTCCGGGCGGCGGCCTGCTTCGTCAGGCTCAGGTTCGGCTCCGACACCTGCCTCGTCGTCCTGGGCGGCGCGCCGGGGAGGAGGAGGGAGGACGGGGGGGGTTAAGTCGGGCCTGTCCCCCTACAGGGGGATTTTGAACGAAAAAAAACCCAAACATACCCCAAAAAGGTAAACAAATACTGAAAAACTACTTCCCTGACTATTTTTGGATTATCTTCTGTCTATTTTAACAATATGTTTTATTTTTCGTCGCTGAAAATCACCCTTTAGGGGGACAGGCCCGACTTAAGGGAGGGGGGGGGGGGGGGGGGGCGAAATGGGGGCGCGGGAGGTGGGGGGGAAAGGGGCCCGCCATTGCTCGGGCGTCTAGTCCCTGTGCATGTTTTGGTTTCCGTGCGTGCACGTCTTCGTGAGGTGGGCAAGCATGCTTCTGAATGGTCCTTGCCAGAAGGAATGCACACTCCCGAGCGATGCCAAGGGGAGGGACGGGGGAGGGATGGAAGGATTCTACGACGCTGCGCTTCCTTTTGAGGTGCAGCGCGAGCCCAGGCGAGGAGGAGGAGGAGGAGGAGGAGGAGGAGGAGGAGGGCGAGGAGCTGCGAGAAGGAGGGGAGAAATACACACGAGGATGTGGAGGAGGGGAAGGGAGGACGGACGGAGAAGAGGCGGGGGAGGGATGCGGTATCAGCAAGAGGGAGAGGAGGAAGAGGGGGGAGGAGAAGGGGCGAAATGGGGAGAACACAGAAAAGCAGGAGGAGCAGAATGAGCATGGGGAGGAGGGATGACGACGATGACGATGATTATGCTGATGCTGATGCTGCTGATGATGAAGATGATGAAGCTGATGATGAAGATGATGAAGATGATCCTGCTGCTGATGAGGATGACGATGATGCTGATGATGATGCTGATGATGGTGTTGATGCTGCTGCTGATGATGAGGATGATGATAAACATGATGAGTATGATGATGCTGCTGCTGCTGCTGATGATGATGATGATGATGATGATGATGATGATAAGGACGATGACGCGGATGAGGATGAGGATGATGATGATAATGATGATTACGATGATGGTGATGGTAATGGTGGTGATGATGATCACGACGCTGCTGCTGCTGATGATGTTGCTGCTGCTGATGATGATGATGATGATGATGTGGCTGATGATGATTTTGATGATGATGATGCTGATGATGATGCTAATGATGCTGATGCTGATGCTGCTGCTGCTGATGCTGCTGATGATGATGATAATGATGATGATGATGATGATGATGATGATGATGATGATGATGCTGATGCTGATGCTGATGCTGATGCTGATGCTGATGATGATGATGATGATGATGATGATGGTGACGATGATGATGATGATGATGATGATGATGATGATGATGATGATGATTTTGATGATGATGATGATGATGATGATGATGATGATGATGATGATGATGATGATGATGATGATGGATGATTGCGAGGGGGAATAATACAGAGGAGGAAATTGGCCGGCCCAGCAGGCCGGAGGCGTGCAGAGACCTCCAGTAACAAGTTGACAATATTCTAGTTCGCGCGCGCGTGGCGGCCCCTGGGGGTCCCGGAGCGAAAAACACCCTGGGAAGATCCTGGCAAATCCCCGGCAGGGTTCCGTCAGGGATGCCGGATCTCTTGGCCGCGGTCCTGGAAGCCTCCAGAGCCGATCCAGGAGCGGCCCAAGGAGCCGCCAAATAGGCGGCAGGCCCCACGAAGAGCGCTGCAAGATGGCCCCAGATGGCCTTCAGATGGCCCAAGATGCCCCCAACACGCCCCAAGAGACCTCCTAGATCCTAGAGGCGTCCCAAGAGGCAAACACAACTGATTTCCCGTTCGTGGTTCAAGGATTTCGGCGTTCTCGCCTCTTGAGCTCCCCGATGCTGCCAGATGGCCCGAACCGCTCCCAAGACCGCCCCAAGACAACTCTCGAGAGCTGTCGAAGAGGGCCTGGCCAAAGAGAGCCACAAGACCGCCCCCCCCCCCCCCCCGCGGCGCCCGCGCGTGCGCGGCCGCGGCCGGCGACGGAGCCGCCGACCGCTGCGCAGGCCTCCTCCTCCTCCTCCTCCTCCTCCTCCTTCTCCTCCTCCTCCTCCTCCCAGGCGGGCCGAGAGGTCTCCAAGACTCCTCCAAGAAAGGGCCGAGATGGCGCACGCGAACGGACGTTTCGAGCCTTCTGCCTCAAGATGCCCACAGGAGGCCCCAAGAGGCCCCCAAGAAACCCAAAGAGGCCAAAGAGGCCTCCCAAAGACCCCCAGGAAGCCCCGAGAGGCCCCAACATGCCGTCACAAGATCCCTCCCAGAAACCCCAACAGTCCTGCCAAAAACGATTGCCCAGACAACACCGAAGGAGTCTGCGACGAACCCCCGAAACCAACTCCACAATCACTGCATCACCTCCAACGCACTCCGCGCACCCCCAGGGGGACAGCCCCCAGCAGCCGCACCGCATTGACAACGGTCACTCGGGCCATCGCCAGCGGTGCGACACGTCATGTGGGCCGGCGGAGTAAGCGGAGCGATGGAGTGAGGAAGAGCATATGGAGGAGGGATCGAACAGGGAACTGGAAGAGGGAGGGAGGCGGACGGGGACCAGACGATCTAAACTACCGGTGCATCGGCGATGCTGCAACGCACCCTCCCGTGCAGAGCCCACCTCCTCACAAGTCCGTGCACGCACTGCTTCTCACTGCGGGCGGCGCCCCCCTTCGAGGAGCGCGCGCCCCGCGTGACCCTGCAGCTCGAAATCTGCACCCCGTGGCCTCGAAGATACCGAAGGTGTCATCCAGACAGTCCAAGGGAGTGTCGTTGGAGGCCTGGAGATGGGCACCAACACCATCACAGGGGTTGCCTCCACCGGGGGAAGGTCATCCTAGGTCTCGGTGTTGCTGAAAATATTTCGGCCACCTCGGACGCCCGAATGTTACCACCATCACCGAGATCGAAATATCCTTCCCTCGGTGGAGGCACCCCGCCGATATTGGTGTTATGTCGGGCGTGTCCCCCTACAGGGGGATTTTCGACGAAAAATCGAAAATCCCCCTGTGGGGGGACAGGCCCGACTTAACCTTAAAAGTGCTCCAGGGGGGCACGCCGAGACGGCGCACGAAGCAAAGGCCGTCACATTTCCCGTGGGGGACCGTACACATGATTGACAGGCTCGCCTGTTTCGTCCGCCAGGATTGTCCCAAGACAGCTCGAGAGGACCCCCGAACGGCCCCAAGACGGCCTAAGAGGGCCCCCAAACAGCCATCTGAGGCCCCGAAGACGGTCCACGAGGGCTCCAAGAGGCACCCAAGATTGACGGCGAGCACGGGGGGAAGCGAGAAGGGGCGGGCCTTCTCAGAAGGCTCCGAAGTCCCCCAGCCTTCTAGAACATTTTCTAAACCTTCCCCGAAGGCACGGACACCTTCTCAGAAGGCGCGGTGGCTTCTGGGAAGCCCCGCCGCCTTCTGAGAAAGCCTTCTTCTTATCACTTCCCCCCCATCGCTCGCCGCCGACAAGAGGGGGCGAAGAGGGGCCATACGAACTGACATTTCGAGGCTTTCCCCCCAGAGGATGGCCCCGAGAGCGCCCCGACATGGCCCCAGAGACGCTGCTGCTCACTGGCTCCCTCCTGGATGCCACCCAGAGCCCTGTAAAACTGTGAGGCGGGGAATAATCCACATTCACCCCTTGGGAATCAACGTCCTGGGGACCCAGCGGGCGGTGGATAATGTTGCCCCCCAGAGACCCGAATCTATATATATATACATATATATATACATATATATATATATAGATGAAGGAAAGCATAAACCCATATCCACCGCCTGTGAAGGTCCCCGAAGATCGATTCCCCCGACAAGCATCCAGAGAGACCGTCATGTGCATCCGAGAGAGTACCTTCCACGACCGTGTCGGGCACTCACGCCACTCGATAACCACAGCGATTTCACAGACAGCTGCTGGCAAAAGGCCACCAGCCCGTTACGAAGACACGCCGCCGTCGGAACCCTCCAACAACACGTCTGGAACGACATCGCCGTGATGGTCTGGCAACTTGTCCAGCAGATAGGCGGTGATCCCTCTCCGTTTCGGGGCCTTGTTTGTCTGACCGCTTCAATCTGGAAAAGTTCACGAGAGTATCCTCGTCTGCTCCCTCCTCCTCCTGCTCCTCCTCCCTCCTCCTTTTTTTTCCTCCCTCCTCCCTCCTCCTGCTCATCCTCCCTCCTCCTGCTCCTCCTCCCTCCTCCTTTTCTCTCCTCCCCTTCCACGGTCATCCTTCTCCCCCCTCCCCCTCAGGAGGCCTCCGGCAGAGGTCCCCAGAGGCCTCGCGGCGCCGAGGAGAGGGTCAAGGGCGCGGAGTGGTTTCAAGAAGCCACCGTCTCGATGCCCTGGGGGCGCCGCCCCCGCGAGCGCCACCGCGCGCGTCGTATCCGCCGCCGTCGTTGCCCCAGTCGTCGATGAAGTCGTCTTACCGCCATCGACGATCGTCGCCGACGTCGTCGCTGCCGCCGCCGAGCCACCGTCGTCGCCGCCGCAGTCATCCCCGCCGTGGCCGCCGTCGCCGCCGCCGTCGTCGCGGTGCTGGTGGTAGTCGTCAAGTCGTTGTCGCCGCCGCCGTCGCCGCCGCAGAGGTCGTCGCCGTCGCCACCACCGCCACCGTCGTCCTCGTCCTCGTCCTCGTCCTCGTCGTCCTCGTCCTCGTCGGCGTCGTCGTCGTCGTCGTCGTCGTCGTCGTCGGCGTCGTCGTCGTCTGGTAGCGCCGCCGCGAGGCGGGCGGCATTGCGGGCCCGCGAGGGCGGCCAGCGCGCGCGCGCGCGCTCGCCTGCATTTGTCTGTTTTTCCTCTACGAGCTCTGTTCGGCGGCGCTGGTTCGCCGCCGGAGGGCCTCGTCGTCCGTGGCCGGCGGGGACGCGGACAGGTCCGCGCCCTCACCCCTGGCGGCGACCTGCGCCAGGCGGCGGGGGAGGGGGGGGGACAGACCCGAGGAGGAAGCGGGGGATCAAAGACAGTATTACTTATCCTGCTTCCAGCGAGCCTCGCCCAAGAGCGCGGGGCGCGATGTCTGAGCAGGGACCGACCGTCCCGACATTCCGATAGGCCTACCACGAAATGGGCTCACGACATGTTCTTGAACCCCAGAAATGTTCTAAGAACAAAAAACAATGCTATGATAAAATTAACCCGATGCGTTTAAGCAAGACGATTTTGGTCAGAAATGTTTAAGAACATTCCGTGCAGACCACAAAAGACTCGGCGGTGGAAACACCTCCCTTTAGCAACCCTCCCTTTCGTAAAAACGGCCTAGGTCCGAAACCGACGGACCTGGACCCGCAAAAGCGACGGCCGCGACGCCCTCCCGCAAACCGAAAACGGCCGATCCGCGCATCGACGTGTCAGGGTAGGAGGTCTATCTCGGGCCGGGCGAAAGGGGGGGATAGCAAAGGGGCGGGTTGAGAACCAGCTCACGTGTAGCTGATCTTCCCGGCGCCTCCCGGCGCCGGGAGGCGCCCCTGTATCGAGGCATGGGCCCAGCGGCGGGGCCGAGATCAGCTGCACGCAGCAGATTTCGGACCCCCAACTTTCCCAATCCCCCTCTTTCTCGGGAGCGGCCAAGAGGGGGGTGTCCAAGAGGGGTGTGTGCAAATCATGACGGGCGGCATGTGCGCGGCCCAGCGGGGGGGCCAGGGACGTAATGAAATCAGAAGGGGCGCCATGAAATCTGGGGAAATATCATGGCCCCAGCCATGATATCCACCCCCCCCTAGTCATCACCCCCCTCTTTTCCGCCCCCGACTTTCGCTCGGCCCGACGATCCATCAACCTCCGAACGATTCCTGGAACACTCTCTGGTGGGCCTCTCTTGGGCAAGCCGGGGCGCTGCGCCCCTGCTCTTGCCATCGCTCGGGCGTCCCTTCCCTGTGCATTTTTGTTCGGCCTCGCGCGTGCTCCCGTCTGCTCGATGCTCCAGGTGCTCTTTTGCTTTTCTGCTTGCTTGCTTTTTTGTTCTTGCTTGCTCGGTTTCGTGCGTGTTTCTGTTTGCTCGATTCGGGGATGGACAGACCTCCCTTTAGTAAAACGTGGTCAGTGAAAACGACGTCCGGCCCAAACCTGGCGGGCGCAAGCCTGGAAAATAACTGCCGCGGCGCCCTCTCGAGAACCGAAAACGGACAAGTCACTAATCGACGTGTCAGGGTAGGAGGTCTGTCCACCCCCGATCGATGGGCCCTCGCCGAGGAAGAAATGCACTCGCCCGAGCGATGCGCGGTGCTTGCGCCCGAGCGAGCGCGGGGCGACACGGGCAGAGGCAGCACCGGCACTCCGCGGCCCGGGCGGCGGCCCGCGGGCGCGAGGCGGGACACCCCGGGAGCACCGGGCACGCCCGGAGCCGGGCGGCCGCGGCACGCTCCTCCTCTTCTTCCTCCTCCTCCTCCTCCTCCTCCTCCACCTCCTCCTCCTCCTCCAACTCCTCCAACTCCTCCAACTCCTCCTCCTCCTCCTCCTCCTCGTCCTCCTCCTCGTCCTCCTCCTGCTCCTCCTGCTCCTCCTGCTCCTCCTCCTCCTCCTCGTCGTCCTCGTCGTCCTCCTCCTCCTCCTCCTCCTCCTCCTCCTCGTCCTCCTCCTCCTCCTGCTCCTCCTCCTCCTCCTCCTCCTCCACCTCCCTCCAACTTCTGGTGGTGGTGGAACAAAAACAGGCCCCTCCATGCAGGGTTCGCTGGGCGGGTCGGGGACGCAATTCTCTTTGTGAGTCCAACGGCCCCAGCCTGTCGACCGGGGATGCCATGCCGCTGTGGGGGACCCGTGAGCGTACGACTGCTGACGAGGCACCAGGCTCAGGTCGGGCATGTCCTCCTGCAGGCGGATTTCGGAGGAATGGCTAGGACTCTAATCACACAGTGCTCGAAGGCCTTCAAAAACATAGCAAAAAACTCATCCCCAGACTATGGCTTCATTGTTTTTGCATACGCTTCCTGTAGAGGGACATACCCGATTCAAACCTGCTATAGGAGCACCAGGCCTTCGGGACAAAACGGGGAAGCAGCGCTCTGATAGGCTCCCATTGGCGGCGCGTCGCGGATACTCCTTCTCCCTCCCCGGGACGACCGGGAGAACTCAGAACGACCTGCCCAACACGACGTGCCTTGTTTCTCCCAGCGCTGTTCCTTAGACCAGCGCGTTCCGCTGCCCGCAGAGTAACGGATTGCACATGGCCTGGCTACGCCGAGGGGGCTTTGCGACCAATCACATCG